TTACGTCTTGGTCTGGCCACCCTCAACCCTCTTACAACCTAACCTATCTTACATTAGCATGGCACTTTGAGACAGGTAGTAACTCGGCATGAGTAATACATATCCAAGGCATCTGAGTCAACTAAAGTTCACAACCTCATCAACTGACTTGCTTGTTTCGTTTAGTACCCTTCGCCTGACCTCAACACTGCTCACATGGTGATTCCACCAAATGTGACCAGTGATAGTAAGACATCTGCAATCGCATTATGTCTTCTAATTTTTAACGGCCGTGTCTCACAGCTGTATAACAGGACAAGATGGACTATACAGCAGTATACTTGTCCTTTGATAGGTAGTCAAAAATCCCACCGGTGACAAAAATGACTCAAGTTGGCAAATGCCAAATCGGCCTTCTGTAACCAACAGTACATGAAAACTAGATAGTAGGACCAAGATGTAGAACTTAAACACATATATACACAGATTTTATGTTTAGAAACAATGCACAACTAAAAAAGGGACAGCTTGTAAGTATTACCATTCAGTCGGTGTAGTTCACTAAAATGAGATAGTTGATAGGCAAATAAGTTAACGATGGATCATGGCTAATAGTGGAGTCCAGGATGCCCATTTCGTCCTATTTGGGACTCATCAGCCAGACGAATCTGCTTTCCAGTGAATGACGTTGTTCCTATCGAGATTCGGACTTGGAAGCGATCGCTTCTAACGCCAGCGCGTCTTCCGCTACACCACCGAGCCACGATACCCACTTCTTGTGAGACGCGTATACTTTTAGTATGTATAGTCATAAATTTAGTTATATAAAAAAACAATTGTACTAAAACTATACCCCTTGCTCAAGAAGTGGTGATCATGACTCGGTGGTGTAGTGAATCACGCGCTGGCGTTTGAAGCGATCGCTCCCAAGTCCGAATCTGGGTGGGACCAACATCACTCACTGGGAAGCAGGTACATCCAGCTGACGAGTCCCGAATAGGACGAAATACGCATCCTGGATTCCACTGCTAGCCACGACCCATCGTTAACATAATTAAAACGCAGACAATATCGAGGCTTTCGCACAGGAGCCCGTATGGCAATAGAGACTGATCAATTCGTTCCAATCAACGACGGTATCATATAAAAAACAATGATAGGTAAATATGTTGAAAACTGAATCGATGCGTACTATCGAATCAGTTGCATTTGCAACAACCTACGTTTCGTATCTGTTGACACTTGTCAGGAAAGTGCATCAGTAACCTCAAGGAAATTGGTGTTTTTTAAGCAATTCAAACCCTCTCCACTCAGTTATGCAGTCAAAATGTTACCAATGATATCATTCGAATAGCGAGTGACCTCCTATAGACCTAAATTGTATCCATTGGTCGATTAATAGAAGAGTAACCAATTTCTATGTTGTCTGATCCTGAGCAATGGTCATGTTTGTAATTCATCTTTCCTCATGGCTGTAGATACGCTTTGATTACGAGTACCAATAATCATGATTAACTTTTTAACTTTATACACTAATTAACTGAATAGAAACCATTTAGTAAGCAATATTATTATTCAATACAGAACTTCGCATAACTAACATAGAAATGTGAAGTATGCATGTAGACTGTATGTAATGAAGCTTAGAGCATAAATCAGTATGGTTATAGCTTCCAGACAGCTTGATTAAAATGACTATTGCAAGATAGTAACATTTTTAAGACAATTTCTCGTTGTAGTTTCTGATGTAGTTGTCCTTTCCAAATGTTCTACACTAATCGAAGTAAATAAGATTAATTGGTTAATCTTAACAATTTCTCTCCTTTATCAGTTTCATTTGGCACAAATGAGAGAAAAGTTTTGCATGATTTAAGCTTACTGACGAATATCAGACAACTTGAGTATCATTATTTTATAAACATCTCCTCTAGTTCATAATCGTTTATCTCTTAAATCAAGCCTTTAAGAAAAAATCACAGTTTTTGGTTTACAATGAAATGATCACTTTTCACACGATAGGCTTAGATAGAATGTTGTGTTGATAGACAACTTTTCCGTATCAGGAAACCAGGCTGGATTACAGTGATGATGACCTTAGCTTATAGATCAACTGCATAAGTTATTATTAGTAGTATTATTTGTCCCTTGGATTCCTTACGGAACATAGGGATTCAGTAGCAAGTCTCCATTTCACTCTCTTCTCTTCAGTCTTTTGGACCTGGCAGCACGACTGCTTACAAGCTCTCATTTCTTCCTCACGTGATCTCCTCCATGTCACCCTCGCCTAAGACGCCCAACTCGTCGCTTCTCATCTGGGTTCCACTCGAGCAACTGGCCTGACGCGTGATATCCCCAATCGGCCTTCTCAGTGTATACTTAGTCCATCTCCACTTCCTTCTGTATATTTGTTGGCTGATATCTTCTTGGCTGGTTCGTTGCCACAATGAGTTCCTTGTTGCTTATTATTTCTGGCCACATAAGTTATACTCCATCTGAATAATATGAGAACAATTATGATTATACAGTATTCGATATCTTTCAACAGAGTGTGCCAGTATGTGGGATCGACAATATGGTTATTAGTCGAATGCATAAGCTTATAAGACAGTTATTCAACCTACAGAAGAACAGGTGAGTTAAGTTTGTTTTTGTTTTATAATGAATCTCATTTATTATTACTAAATGTATAACAGTTCAATGAGTCTTTGCATTTCTGTTATGCTTGAATAATTCGTTTATTTCTTTACTTGAGTCATTAAACTTCCTGAGTTTCTAAATTTCGCATTTCATCCTTTCATAAGGACATATTACCAACGATCTGGTCATTGTATTTAATAGAATATCATACATAAACGAAATATACTTATCGTTTTACTCAGAGAGCAAAAACTACCCAAAGAAACACTTTAGAGCTTTTAGTCGGTTCATGAATAGTTCCTAAGTCCACAATAATAATAATTATTATTATTATTATCGTTATCACTGTTCTATTTTTCAGATGAATGAGGACTTTTAATTTACGGACAGTTTTCATCACTAACACCTTGTCAAACTCCAGATAAACGGAGACCTAAGTCTCTGAAGGAACTGGCGCGGAATCACGCTCCTGTCCATCACAAGCGAAACATTATGACGCATCATCCTGGAGAGATTAAAGGATGCGCTGGATTCAAAATTACTACCAAAACAGGCTGGCTGGATTCAGGAAGTACAAATCATGTACAGACCAAATTGCAACTCTACACTACGCATCATCATAAAACAGAGCAGAGAATGACAGAATGGCAACTCAACTTCATCGACTTTGAAAAGGCTTTTGATAGCGTCGACCTAGAAGCAATTTGGCAACTGCTTCAAAACTACGGAATACCGCACACCTTTATCAATCTCATTCGAGAACTATGTGAAGACGCCACATGCCAAGTAATTCAAAATGGGTAGCTCACTGATGCCTTTGAAGTGAAGTGAAGTGAAGACAGGAAGGAGTGAGACAAGGCTGCTGCCTACTATCACCAATGATATTCCTGATTGTGGTTGACTGGATCATGCAACAAACTGTGAGGAGTGAGAAGAAGGGGAGTCGCTGGACCGCGGAAAACAGCCCAGATGGTTTGGATTTCGCCAATGATGACTTGTGTCTAATGTCACACAAACATGAAGATCTACATGCGAAATGCAACAAGTTGACAGAAGAGGTAGGGCAGCGAATGGAGATGGGACTTCAGGTGCACACAGAGAAGACGGATGTGATGAAGATACCAAACCAACATCACCACCACCAATAACAAGCTCCAATGACGATGAACGGAGGAAACTTAAAGGAAGTAGCTTCTTTCACCTACCTAGGTAAGGCAGTATCGTTTCAACTAGAGGCGACACAGGCAGAGACGAGGATGTCAAAGCAGGCAGGATCGGAAGGACAGCAAGACAGGTATTTATTAATCTGAAACCAGCATAAAGAACAAGATCCGGATTTTCAACACCAATGTGAATCAAGTCAGTGCTTCTGTATGTCTCATAGACTTGGCGCGTTATGAAAGAGATTTCCAACAAACTACAGACACTTATCAACAACTGCCTACGCTGGCCCGTTACTAAAGCTCAGATGTACAGAAACAATAAGCAACAAGGAACTCCGGGTGTCAACGAATCAACCAGTAACCTATCACTCAACAAATATGCAGAAGGAGAGAGTGGAAATGGATTGGGCATACACTGAGAAGGCTGACTGTGAACATCGTGTGCCAGGCCGTTGAGTGGAACCCAAAAGGAAAACAACTAGTTGGGTGTTCAAGAAGAAGGTGACATGGTGGAGATGGTGTGAGGAAGAAATGAAAACTTGTGGGCAGTCGTGACGCCAGGTTCAAAAGATTTCAGAGAAGAGAGTGTAGTGGAAGCGTGGTACTGAAGCCCTATGTTCCACTAGGAACTCAAGGAACATACAATAAAAGTGAACAATAATAATTCATCACTGACTGACATCAGTTGGAGAGCACTGGACAGCTGTTTCGTACTATTATAGGTCACTTCGTTAGTACGCATCCACAACCCGGGTACCGATCAAACTCAAGCCCTTCAGGTTTCACATCGAACGCGTTAACATGCAACCAGATGAATATTACTAAGTTCCAATGCGAATCACTAACATGTGGGGACAATCAGTCAAAAGAGAAGCGGATACCAACTGAAAACCTTGTATGATAGTCGCTGTATATCATGAATTGACAAAAGTTGGAAACTGTGAACCACTAAAAGCCGACCCAGTAGCTGAATGATTAACGCGTTCACCATGAAACCTGAAAGTCCTAAGTTGAATCTTTAGCCGTGTCATGGTTGCGTACTACTGAGAAATCCTATACTAGGACGAAACAGCTGTCCAGGGCTCCCAGATTTTCAATGGTTCTCTAACTGATATCAGTCAGTTATGAATACTACCTCTATTTTATCATTATTATTAACGGCTTTTTTCGAATAAGATGTATGTAAAAACTTTCTTAAACAGGAAAATATATTTCACTCACTTTTTGAATATCTTTTTTCGGTGTAGTCAGTGGATCTTCTAAATCGAATTCAATCGATGATTCTTTCAATTGTGAAGTGTAGATTCGTTTTGTTTTATTTACACTTCTTTCTAATTCAATATATTTAGGTCTGATATTTACAGCACCAGAATTGAATACTTCATATTCATTACATATTTTGCTTAATGAGCCGTATATTTCAAATAGGACAGTTACATTTCGTCCGAGAACTAATGAATATTCCTATTTGTAAAAAAACAGAAATAACAAACTACTTTTTTACATATAAGTAGTATATATGTATACGCCTAAAGTTGAAAATGTGAAAATGTAAATTCCATAAGAATCAGTCACGTATCACCTATAAATATAATCATATTAGTGAATTTCAAGCTATGAACATAAAGATAATCCGACAGACGGACAAATTAATATAGGAACTTGTATACAAGAGCATCATTTCAAGTTACCAAACAAATAGGAAGTCTGTATGAGATGAATGACGTTAAAGGTATTTGGGAATACTTGAAGCACTAGTCATTCAGATGTGCAAACCATCATTGTATATCCAAAAAAAGGTACATAAAACCTTCTCCTTTGACGTGGCCATCATAAAGCCTTGACTGTCATAGTTTTATCCTGTATTCCAGATTTCCAATGTTTCTTCAACTGACATCAGTCCATGATGAATATTACATATTTTTCTTAAACACACTTGATTACGCATTCCCTTTCTCACTCTATATACGACTCATACCAACTTAAAATCAATAAGTAAGCCTCCACACACCTTGAAATTGAATTAACCTATTCCTCACTGATGAATTGCTTCAAGATATGGTTTTTGAAGTTCCAATTAGAAGTCGTGCCCCATGGGGCAAACCAGGCCGAATATAAGGACATTTAATCAACGACAGGCATTGGACGGAGGTCACACTTCATTGCGTACCGACAGATGTAGGAAATATGAACCATTGTATTCTGACCCATTGGCTCAGTCGTTATGTCTTCGGAGTAGAACCTGAAGGTGCTGGGTTCGATTCCTGGCGTGGTCAGGAGTACGCAGTTCTGAGAATACATTGACTGGTCACTGTATGGTATCTAATCCAGTCCTACCGGGAAGTAATTCAGGTCCCAGTAGCTCGGTGGTAACGTTGTTGACTACAGTACATGGTGACGCAGGTTCGAACATCAGGTGGCACATCAGTTCCATCGAGGTTGCCTACACTCTTTGCTGAGGAGCGCCAACAAGCTCCTGCCGATTGCCTACACACAACTAACATCTATCAGAGTGCATTGAGATGCTGAGCTGTCTAGTATGGTGTCCAAATTGCAAAATGATCGATAGAATTAGATTGGTAGTTAGGACTAGACATGAAATTGGTTACCATCCAGTGACAAATCAACGTGAGAAAATGAGCTTTAATCCCATTTCGAGAATGATAAAGACTGAATACATGTGAGTTAGTCCAGTGAATTTTAGATCACGTCACCAAGAAGTTCCAAACACTGACTTTTAAGACCTGAAGACTGGACACCTTTACAACTCCCTACACAACTCACATTCAAAGTCAGAGACTTAAGGGATTGATGCAGAGCTTTGGTATGGTGATACTTAACTTTATTTCAGCTTAATCCAACTTCAGCTGATTTGAAATTTCGAGGAAGCCTGTAGTTCGAGAAGCACAACACTTGTTAAAGCCACTTTTAACTTCTATCAATTCGCTTCAATAGGAAATCAGTTAAAATCCACAAATAATTCTGTCATGATCATCAGTCATTGAAGAGTGATTAGTTACGACAATCGTTTTACTACTGGTATGCAAAACATCCACAGATGTATAAGTTTGTAGAAGTCTTTATAGGAAATTCCCAATGAGTTTTGATTTTCCAAGGTTCTTGTAAAAAACAAGTGCCATGGAGGTATTATATGAAGGTAAACTACTGAATTGTACCAAGTAAGATTAAATATCATTTAGTTCGATAGAATACGGTCGACACTCAAGGCTAGCCAATATGAGGTTGGTTGTTCTTCATTGGCCAGTTAGTGTATGCAATGCAGTTCTATAGGAGATCAGTCGCAGCCCGAATAGCTCAGTGATAAAGTCATTGACTTCAACACTGGATGATGCTTCGGGTTTTCTGCCAATTACCTACAACTATATAACTCCCATCAAAGAGGACCGCAGCGGTGGACTTCCTAGCTTGGTGACCACATTGTAAAATTGTCGATAGAATTCGGTCGGCGCTCGAGACTAGGCGACATAGAATTGGTTACTTTCCAGTGACCAGTATGTATATCATTTCGATTTTCCTCTGTAAACTTGGCGTTGCATTATCGATCTAACTACTGACTAGTAAGCATTTAAAAACTGAATAGCTAACCAAAGCAATGATGAACAGTCTGTAAGTATGATTGAAATAAATAACTTCTCTTAAAATACCTTTTTTTGACTGAATCAAATAATGTCTACGGTCACAGTCTGTCTCTGTCTTACGAGATTAACCCTAATGATGGACCCAGTTGGCTACCACTAGTCTTTCTTTTTCAACTAATGAAATTTCTAGTTGATAAAAGTATCTGAGATGTACATCAAATTATAGATTAATCTACTCATATGAAGATGGTTATTGATGTTAAGAACGAAACTCCCATCACAATACGAATCAGATTAGTGTAGGACCTTTGTGGTTCTGTGGTTAGTTAGTCTAGCCACTTGACTTTCTACCAGCTGGTCATGGGTTTGAACCCAGTTCTGCCGACCTGAAGTTTCCATAGCCAAGTAGTATCATTTACCTTAATACAATAGGTTCGACTCATTGCTTAGTGCATGAATATGCACACAGTTGCTAAGTATTTTTTTCAACCTAATCATATCTACTGCTGAATGAAGTCATCCAGTCTGAGCTTGGAAATAGGTAAACATTTATAACAATGAAGGATAATGGCTAGCAATGGAATCCAGGATGTACATTTCGTCCAATTTGGGGCTCGTCAGCTGGAAGTACCTGCTTCTCAGTCATTGTTCTTTTTTCGACTAAACAATACTACTAGAAATATTTATAAAAATGAAACTCTTTGTTTATTTATTGGTAACTTATGTGGAAATTAATACATCCCCTGTTAGTGAATCTACAGATATAAAGGCGAACATTTCACATCGATGAAGTCGGAGATACATCTTAATTTCTTATCGAATTGATTGCTTTGTAAATGATTTAAGTGAATAAGCATGAGGTGAAAAAATAACACTGAAATTCTGTTTTATCACTAAACCACTGTTCAGTCATATTTCAAGGTGTTGATCACCGGTGGATAATACAATCAGTGATTATTATTATTATTATTATTGTTTTTCCCTTGGGTTCAGTAGCACGTCTCCACTGCACTCTCTTCTCTGCAAACTTTTGAACCTGGTTTCACGACAGCTCAGAAACACTCACTTCTCCCTCATATCATCTTTTCCATGTCACCCTCATATGAAACGCCCAACTTGATGTCTCCCATATGGGTTACACTCGAGCAATTGGCCTACTCAGTGCATGTCCAGTCCAATCCATCTCCACTTCCTTCTAGTGCATATTTGTTGAGTGATAGGTTGTTGGTTGGTTCGTTTCCAGACCAGAGTTCCTTGTTGCTTATTCTTATTATTCTGACCATCTGATCTCCATCTTCAGTATCGAGTGAGCATAGGCGGCGGCTGTTGATGAATGTCTGTAATTTGTTGGAAATGCTTTTCCTGACACGCCTAGTTTCTGAACCATATAGCAGCACTGTAATATACTTACATTATCGAAAAGGAATTTTTGCGTTTTTATCATTGATGATGGATTAGGAGGATTATCACTACAAACGAGTCGTAATTTACAACAAACCTTGTAGAAACTATAAAGTAATATCCTACAGTAAATAAGTAACTTCCAACAAATTAGTGGCCATCATACTATTATCAAATTGGTATTTCATACTTTGATGACAGAGCTCAACGGATTCGTTAAGGAATAATCTGTCTCAAAGCATTACCTTATTAAAATTCTTCATGAAAGTGAATAAATTTTGTAAATCTGAAAGAGTTAAACTAAGGATTTATTACAGAATAGTGTAAATATCACATTTTTGTCCTAACTTGGATAGCAACAATGCATATCCATAACCGAAATTCATTTCCTGTGGAGTAATGTTTATGTGCACAGATTGTGATCCTTCAAAGGACATAGAACGCTACCCTTCCCATGAGAAAAGCAACATCAGGGGCCTAGTGCGGGTCATTCATGAGAAACATGTTTCTGTTACCTTTTCGTCCAACGAGGAGTAAGGCTTTACCTTCAGATCTCTCCCACATTCTTACCAATAACTGACAGACCTATCAGGCATGTAAGGACTTCAAGTGAACAAGTGCTCCACCAGTATAACTCATTGGGTCACCATTATAAGTCAGCCCAACTAGCATATCAAGATAGTAGCTATCAGTCGGAAAAGAAAACAAAACCTTAAGATATTTCTTCACCTCATTTGAAGTACTTTATTTAGAGAATGAACCTCACCTGGTTAACTAGTTCACTAATTACTAGCCAGCCCTAAGCCCAGGTAAAGAGGGAAGGTTGGGCATAGGGCTAGCAATCCTACCGCGGAAAGCCAATCCAATCGCTAAGGAAACTTCAAAGCTCAAACAAAATAAAAAAAATGAAAACAAACTTATTCCTCCCTGGAATTCGAGAGACAAAATGACGCCAGTTGGTGAAGGTCTTCAGGAAGCCAGTCAGCCAATATGCCTCCTCTTCTCTCAATGAAAGCGAAAGTAAGGAAGGGAACATCGAATTTCCAAACAATGTTTGAATGTAACAAGGCTGCACAGATTGCAAAAGAGATGAGGAGGTATGGCATAGAAGTGCTTGGAATCTGCGAAACCAGATGGAATGCAATGGAAGTGGACTCTCCAAACTGTCAACTGGAGAGGAGTCAATAATCTACTCCAATATTGTCACCCAGACGACAACCACAATCACACTGAGTTTTCGAGTGGCTATCACTATGTCACCAAGAACATCAAAGGCTCTCGTGTAGTGGGAACCAGTCTCCTTCTACAGGATCATGAAAGCAAGGTTCAACTCGAAATGAAGGAAAGTCACAGTAATACAATGCTATGCTATGTACCTACAAATAATGCAGACCAAGAGAAGAAGGAGGAATTCTACAGACAACTGCAATCAGTACTGGACAAGACTCCAGTTTTATTTTTTTTATTATTAGTCCCTTGGGTTCCTAGTGGAACACAGGGCTTCAGTAGCACGTCTCCAGTGACCTCTGTTCTCTGAGATCTTTTCAACCTGGTTCCACGACAGCCCACAAGCTCTCATTTCCTCCTCGCACGATCTCCTCCATGTCACCCTCGGACGTCCAACTCGTCGCTTCCCATGGGGATTCCACTCGAGGGCCTGACGCGTGATGTCCCCGGTCGGCCTTCTCAGTGCATGCTCAATCCATCTCCACTTCCTCCTGCATATTTGTTGCATGATAGGTTCTTGGTCGGTTCGTTCCCAGAGCTCCTTGTTGCTTATTCTTTCTGGTCATCTGATCTTCAGTAGCGAGCGTAAGCAGTTGATGATGAATGTCTGTAGTTTATTGGAAATCCCTTTCGTAACGCCCCAAGTCTCTGAACCATACAGAAGCACTGACTTGACTGGGTTGGTGTTGAAAATCCGGATCTTGTTCCGCAAGACTCCAGTTGGTGACATCAAAATTCTAATGGGCAACATGAGTAGCAAACTGGAAGCGGATAATACAGGAAGAGAACTCATCATGGGTTGATACTGAAGGTCAGATGACCAGAAAGACTTAGCAATGAGGAACTCTGACATGGTAACGAACCAACCAAGAATCTATCACCCAACAATTATGCAGCAGAAGAATGTCTAGATGGATTGGGTATACACTAAGAAGACCGATTGGGATATCACGCAGCAGGCCAGTTGCTCGAGTGAAACTTAAATTGGAAACGACTAGTTGGGCATGGGAGGCGAAGGTGATATGGGGGAGATGATGTGAGGAAGAAATGAAAGCTTGTGGGCAATCGTCGAGGCAGGTTGAAAAGACTGGAGAGAAGAGAGTGTAATGGTGACGTCCTACTGAAGCCGTATGTTCCACTAGGAATCCAAGGGAAAAATAAACATAATGAAGATTCAAAGAATACGCAAAAGAACTAAACGAGAATTATTCATAAATTATTCCATATATTAACAGTATTTCAGTCAAATTTACCTGTAATTTATTTAAAATTTTTGGAAATAATGAAATTAATAATATTCGTGTTATTAAATTATCCAATAAACTTATAATTCGTTCAACATCAATAGTTGATAAATTGTTAAGTAGCAGTTTTTGTATCTCCAATGTATTAACTGACAGATCTTTAATAGGTATGATAGATTTATGTCTAAAACAATTATCATTATCGTTAGTTATCGATAATCTTCTGAATAATTTATTCATTATTCAATTAATAAATAATTATAGTAATAAATGATAAATATGTTTGTAATGAATCACATATAAATAGATATCTAAAGGAAATTCATGTTTCAGACTATGATTAGTTAACTGATCAATTCATTTCAATTGAAAGCGTGATTAAGCCTAATCAATAATCATATGAATAATATGAACTAATCAGGCTAAGAAATACCTTTGCTAACTTAACAAGAATATGTTTCGATAACCCATAGGGATTTTGGGTTACCAAACATTTTCTGTTAAATCGCTCCCTTTCAACTTGTATTAATCATTTATAATATACGTTTAAATCGTAATATTATTATTATCATTATTATTTATTATTTGTCCCTTGGGTTCCTAGTGGAACATACGGCTTCAGTAGGACGTCTCCACTGCACTCTCTTCTCTCAAGTCTTTTCAACCTGCCTCCACCACTGCCTACAAGCTCTCATTTCTTCCTCACACCATCTCCTCCTTTATGTCACCCTCACCTCAGACGCCCAACTCGTCGTTTCCCATGCGGGTTCCACTTGAGCAATTGGTCTGGCATATGATGTTCTCAGTCGGTTTTCTCAGTGCATGCCCAATCCCATCCATCTCCATTTCCTTCCAGTGCATATTTGTTGAGTGATAAGTTGTTGGTTGGTTCGTTGCCAGAGTGAGTTCCTTGTTGCTTATTCTTATTATTCTGGCCATCTGATCTCCATCTTCAGTATCAGGTGAGCGTAGGTGGCAGGTGTTGATGAATATCTGTAATTTGTTGGAAATGCTTTTCGTAACGTGCCAAGTCTCTCAGCTATCACATAGAAGCATTCACTTGACTGAATTGGTGTTGAAAATTCTGATGTTATTCACGCTTTATGCTGAGTGCAGTGAAGCAGATCTCCACACTGGTTTCAGGTTAATAAACGCCTGTCTTGCTGTCCTTCCGATCCTGCCTGCTTTGACATCTTCGTCTCTGCCTGTGTCGCCTCTAGTTGACACCATCCTGCCTTACCTAGGTAGGTGAAAGAAGCTACCTCCTTTAAGCTTCCTCCGTTCATCGTCATTGGAGCTTGTTATTAGTGGTGGTGATGTTGGTTGGGTATCTTCATCACCTCTGTCTTCTCTGTGTGCACTTGAAGTCCCATCTCCATTCGCTGCCCTACCTCTTCTGTCAACTTGTTGCATTTCGCATGTAGATCTTCATGTTTGTGTGACATTAGACACAAGTCATCATTGGCGAAATCCAAATCATCTAGGCTGTTTTTCGTGGTCCAGCGTCTCCCCTTCTTCTCGCTCCTCACAGTTTGTTGCATGATCCAGTCAACCACAATCAAGAATATCATTGGTGATAGTAGGCAGCAGCCTTGTCTCACTCCCTCCTGTCTTCACTTCACTTCACTTCAAAGGCATCAGTGAGCTACCCATTGTGAATTACTTGGCATGTGGCGTCTTCATATAGTTCTTGAATGAGATTGATTAAGGTGTGCGGTATTCCGTAGTTTTGAAGCAGTTGCCAAATTGCTCCTAGGTCGACGCTGTCAAAAGCCTTTTCAAAGTGGATGAAGTTGAGGTAGAATTGAGTTGACAGATATTTTATGCTCTGTTCTATGATGATGCGTAGTGTAGAGTTGCAATTTGGTCTGTACATGATTTGTACTTCCTGAATGCAGCGTGTTCCGATCGTAGGTTTTGATCCAGCGCATCCTTTAATCTCTTCAGGATGATGCGGTTTAATATTTTGCTTGAGGTGAACAAGGGTGGAGGATGATTCTTCGCTAGTTCTCGCAAACACTTTGGTCTCCATTCACTTGGATTTTGATGCTCAGTTCATATTTAATCGCTTTACACTTAAAATATTCATAATATGAAGTTAATAACATAAACAGAACTCTTTGAACAGATGAGTTTAATTTGATTGTTAGACTTCATCTAGCGTCACATACAGATTGTTATAAAAAAGTTATGATAAACTACAGATGTGGAAGTTATCACACTTCACAACAGTGCAGGATTGAAATAAACAAAGTTTAACAATTCATTTTGGAGGTTTATGGTGATTGAATAATTTTAATGTAGTATGCATAATAAACATCAATGTCAAAGGCATTGAAAACCTGAAATGACCCATCAACAGCATGTACTCACAATTTCATCAAGGGGTCGAAATGTATAGTGCTCAGCAATGGTGACATTCTTTTAGACTGGTTTCTTGAAATTCTGATGAGAAGCTATGACCAGTAAAGTTAATCAAGTTGAATGTGAGGACAAGTAGCTGCTGATGGCATTGAAAGATGCTGGCGATATACATTGCAAATTGATATAAAGAGAAAAACGTGAATTATTACATACCAATCTGGTGAGTAGATAACAAAGTGATCGCCAAGTAACTTGATGGTTCAACCTTCAACCTCTGGTAGAGTTTCAGGTACTCACAATTACTGAAGAGTACAGGACGAAACAGTTGTTCATCAATTTGGAATTTTTAATGGTTCTCACATTGATGTCATTCCATGATGAATACAATCATAAAATATCGATAATCTTACTAACAGTTTAGTGAATTTCCTTTACAACTTTGTAAACCTTGAAATTAGTATGGCAATAAAATATTTCTAGTTCGAAGATTTTTGTCTAGAAAACCTATTTCATCTTTATATCCATATTATACTGACAAGTTAGAAATAAAATTGTGAAATGATTATCTTACTTTGTTCGTTTCACCAAAAAAAGGCGGTAGATTATGTTTTCTGAAAACAAATCTTCTTTATTTCGTAATAACTGAAGATCGAACCCGTAAACCGTAAATTGTCACATCATTTTTAACAGCTGATTGACTGATTCTCTCTTATTTTATCTTCTTCATAGTCACTTTAACTGAATCTTGAGTCAATTTTCATGTATATTTTGATAGACAAAACTATTATCAGACAGACACAAAGAAACTCCCTTCTTTTCAATTTTTGAAGTACTTTTCTGAATTAACTAACACCTGCTAAGCATATCTGTATTTGACTGGTTGGCGATTAAGTCTATACAGTTTCATATAGATGCATAAACATTTTTTTTTAATCTGCTCGAATCTAACTCTTAGCTTCTTTTAAGATCAGTCAACCTTCTTTTTCCCTCAATGGAACAGCTGTTACACACAAATAGTACTGTATTAACAGTTATCCTTTCCTTTAGTGATTTATCTATCCAAAATCCAATGTAAACTGAAGACCCAAGACAATAACATTAACATTTAGCCGATCAAGTTAAACTCTTTTAACCAAGGTACTTTAGTTTGTTAAATCAATGACAGTGTACAAGTTGGAATGAATAAATAGATTTTTATCCCGTTAGGGCAATTATCGGTTTTAATAAATCTGCGATATGAGAGAATGAGTTCAATTTGTGTGTGTACGATAGGTCCAGTACCCATTCCCGGTAATTCAGTTAACAATGACGCGTATTGAAATGACCAAAACACAAATGTTTGTCAACAAGCGCACTTTGATCAGCAAACCGAGAACCAAAAAGAGCACGAAGTGTACAAAGCTTGAAGAAAGTTTTTGGAATGTTCTCAAACATTTCTGATGCAGACAAACATCTTAAAAGTGGAGAGAACAGAAGGTGACATGGAGGAGATCGTGTGAGGAAGAAATGAGAGCTTGTGGGTAGTCGTGGAGCCAGGTTCAAAAGATTTCAGAGAAGAGAGTGCACTGGAGGCGTGCTACTGGAGCCGTATGTTCCACTATGAACCCAAGGGACAAATAATAATAATAATAAGTTGATTAACCAGCACCATACCAACTAGGATTTTAGATCTGCCGATCTATGGAACTATCAACAACAAACTGACTATTGAGAACTAAACAAACCATCCAATCACGGCGTTTCATCTCAGACCCAATGAAATAGTACTAGTGTCACACATTTTAACCCAACATATAGACATGCTAGTTATTTTAAAATATTTGTACTTTGGTGGGTCGAAAAGTGTTCCAGCGCCAGCCTTTTAAGTACGATGAAATATAAGGAAATGAAATAACAACAACAATGGATGCATAAGGAATAAATACTTTCCATATTAGATTTGTTTATCTGATGCACCAAACAATGATGCAGTACTATTTACACGAGTTGTTAACCATCGGGTAGCCGATTTAGCAGCCTGTTAATTAGCACTGACTGAGGTCTGTCGACTAAGTCTTTTCTGTGTGACCACTAGACGAAGTGACGCAACATTACGGTGTTAGACGTTGGAGGTCAAGCGGGAGGAAGCCCTGAGCCTAGATTTTGTGCACCCTGACACTCATCAGCAAGCCATATCTGGAAACCACAATGGGTAAATCATGCCCTCAGTAGCTTAATGGTCATGTTTCTGACTTCAGCACTAACCGATGAGGGTCCCAATCACAGACGGAACACCAATTTCCTTATTTTTGTAGACATGCCTTGCCAATGAGTGCCAACAAGAAGGAAATCTTGGTCTACGGTTCACTGCCCACCGACATCTCTGATATAGGTGTTGTGCTAATTCTAATGCATTTATTGAATGCTGATCCGATGAATGAAAATCCAGTAACCAATTTCTCTTTCTCTGTATGCGTGTATGTGAACGTAACATAAGTCGGCCTGCATATATCTTCGGCTATAAAAAATTTCCGAGGGAATATATTTTATCGAACTCGTCATTTTCAATTTGTTTTAACGTTTCAATATTTCTTCTAAATGTATCATGTACTCTCGCACATTTTTAAAATGTTTCCAAACTGTCGTTTCTCAAGCTAATAAGAAAACATAGAAAAAAACTTATGCCGGATGTAAATAGACTTATAAATGCTCAAAATTAGAGCACATTACTATTCTTAGGATACCTAAAGGAAATTTCAGATCTTTCTACTGGACGATATGAGTGTTATATTAAATAACCCTCGATTTTCTGTTCATTTATGAGTACATACCGGATACTGATGTACCGCCATCCGGCTGTTTCACATTATTGCCCCTCAGACCGTTATTATTACCACTACATAACTGCAGTAATCATTTCATTCAAAACTAGTCTACAGATGCACAAGCAACCAGGGTGAAGGTCATCGGGAAAAAAGGCACAAACGTG